GTTATTCAGATCGTCGAGAAGACGCCATTGCAGAGGAGGAGATATTCCGAGRTTGTGATGATTATCTTTCTACGACCGCATGGTACCGAGTGGTCGGTTCCGCTGGAAATCAGTTGGCAAGATCGTGTATAAAAAGGAAATGGTCCTGCTCTACTGAATATATGGGGTGGATCAATGGCCAACTTCCTTCAGTAGAGGAAGRGGTTGTCGAACGTCAACTCTGCTTTGCGACAGGCGACAAGTGCTGYGTTAAGGAAACTATCGTAAGGATAAGAAACTGCATAGAATATTTCGTCTATCAGTTTCCGAGAAAAGTTCCATCTTGTCCATCAAAGTACTGTACTTTATATAGACAAAGTGAGTTGAGAATCATTGTCGATCATGCGATAAATATATGTCAGGTTCTAAAATGACCAGTTAAAGAACTAGGGCTGTACCTATAAAATCTACAAAGCTTTTCGCTGTCGTATCACAGCGTGCATATCAAGCTTTACTCTATATGTTAGTGTCGAAGTTGGAGTAGAGAAAGCTCACTCCATATATGATATGATCAATTCCATATTTGGATTGTGCGGAAAAGCGGCAAACAAAAAGGYCGTCGTTTTATAACGAATTCGACATGAACATTTTTGAAGAAGAACAGAAAAGAAAAAAAAAGACGAGTAAAAAAAGAAAAACTTTGGAAAATCGAGGAAGGATACGGGGACGATGCTTACTCGTGGGTCTGCCTCGCAGACAACAGACACAAGGAAATACAATAACACTCAATGTTTGATATGGGACAATCATATCAGAGCTCGAAGCACAGGAGAAAACCAACAAACAACTCTACTCACATACGACTTCGAGATCGGCAGTACTCGAACTCGGCCTGCATTGGTGAGAGGCGGCACATTAGCAGCGCACGCCACCAGTGCTTCCCAGTTTTTGCTTCCCACATAGTCAAAAGTAGATAGCCCCATATTCATCATTTATTAGTCTGTTGATGAACCAGTCCTTTTTTTGACTTGTACTAACCCTTTTTTGTTTCTACAGAGTGCGAAGATAATGCCATTGGTGTATCAAACAACAGTATTATACCAGATACCAGGTTGACAGCAACTTCATATCATGATAACAGATATCAGCCCCACCATGCGAGAATTGATTACAATGGATATGGATGGGCACCAAAGACTACYAGTGACTCGAGTGACTATTTACAGATAGACTTAGGTGCAGTGTTTACCATATGTTCTGTAGCTACACAAGGTTGTGGACACAAAAATGAAGAGTGGACAACCGAATACAAGATAGCAACATCTATTGACAATAAAAACTGGACTCTTTATCAAAGTGGTGGTAAAGTGAAGGTAAAATATTATGACTGTATCATCTCGGCTTTAGGACCTTCTTCTAAAAATATAAATCCAAAGATAAATGTATCAACCTCCATTGGTATACTAACTGTGATGATTGAAAAAATATTTCTGTTTTTGAATATGGGTAAAGTAAAGAGGTCTTTTTCATTAGTAACCTTTTGGAACGCAACGCCAGACCGAACCAAATGCTGACATTCACGGTGATCACTGCGCCGGTCAGAGGTTCTTTTCTGACGTCCCCGACTTGTCATCCGTTCTACCAGGGATTCACGGTCCTCAATGTAGAATGGTAAAAAGGTTTTACCCCTTACAAATTTCATCCCTCAGCTAGGGCGCGAGCTAGGACGAGCTTTGGAATGAGAGAAGGAAGCACTGCACCAACGAGCTCTATAAAAATCAAAGTTTTTTTATTATAACAGAAGGATTGTTTGTATGTCTTTGCAGTTATTTCTCGGCAACAAAGACACAAAAAGTATCGTCCAGAATACATTAGACGATACTCGAACTCTTACCAGGCTCATAAGATTCATACCAACAAGATACCACAATTTCAAAGTACTACGTGTAGAAGTGTATGGATATATGAAAGGTAAGAGTTGATTCTTATTTATGTAGCTAATGGCGATAGGAAAAACCCAGGGAAGGAAGTTTGAGTTTTGAAAGTGAACTGAAGGGAATGAAACGGAAATAAAATTTTCTTAGGAAACTGAAATATGAGATCTCATTTTGGATTGGTATTACCTGTTAATGATAATATATTTATTTGAGCGCCATTTCTAATAACAGTTCATCTGTGTGTTTTACATTTACTGTATTTTGACCACTGACACATTTGTTTTTCAGAAACCAATATAGAAAACGAATGGAAAGGATGGATGAAAAGACGTGATGAGAAAGTGCAGTGGGAAGTACTTGATGAAAGTTCTTATGAAAAGGTTGCAAATGCCATAAAATCGTCGAGAAAATCTCAAGGTAAGTCCTGGTAATTGGTTCCTCTTTGTACCCAAAACCATTGGGAGGTTTAAATTTTCTGCGGGAATAAGGCAGAAGTTCGGGATCGCAATTATATTGTTCAACACCCACAAAGGYCGGGATGTCATGTAATATCTAAACACTAGCGTAGGAACGGGAGCAGGAGCAAGTGTCCCCCTAAAGTTTGAGCGAGTTGCTCTCGGAACAAAATGGAATGAATTCATGGGGGATTCCTGTGCATATGGCGGGAAAATGGTACCTTGTCCGTATACTCACTACGCCTCTGTATCTCAAAGCATTCCATTTCTAAAATAAGTGACCCAAGAGACAAAGCAGAAATACTGAATTCGCACTTTAAGAATGCATTTTCAGAGGCTGCTCCTATGAAGCTCAACTATACAGCTGATGCAGCCGTAAAGCATCACCGGTTACATGTCAGCCACTCGGTTATGCCACCTATAGATATTACTGAAAATGGGATTAGACAAGTGCTAACCAAGCTTAACCCACACAAGGCTCCTGGACCAGATAATTTACATCCCCGAGTTCTAAAAGAGCTGAGTTCATCGATTGCTCCAATTTTACATAGAATCTTCAAGGCCTCAATAGAATCTGGTGTTATCCCATTGGATTGGAAGTTAGCAAATGTTACGCCAATTTTTAAAAAAGGGTCACAACAGATGGCTGAGAATTACAGGCCTGTATCGTTAACCTGTTATCTAACGTGGATAAAAAGCTTTTTGTTAGACAGAAAGCAACGTGTGGTCCTTGAAGGCACGATGTCAACTCAAGTTCCAGTAGAGTCGGGAGTCCCACAGGGCTCTGTACTCGGTCCTACCTTATTTTTGGCCTTTATTAATGACCTTCCTCTGTATGTGAAGTCTATAGTGCGCCTCTTTGCAGACGACGCCGTGATTTATTTAGTTATCAAGTCCAAGGATGATTGTATTCAGTTACAACGAGATCTCCTAAACTTGGATAGATGGGAATCAGATTGGAAAATGGAGTTTAATACCTCAAAGTGTAACGTTATAAGGGTTACGAGAAGGCTGAATCCAGACGTATTTGATTATAAACTTAGAGGGAAAGCCTTGTAAGTTCTGCTTGGTGTTTATCTTGGTGTTCATCTGGCTGAGGATCTTCGTTGGAACGAACACACCAGAAATATCTCAAAAAAAGCCAATAAAACACTTGGCTTTCTTAAGCGTAACTTAAGACATTGTCCATCCAGTACCAAGGAAACAGCATACAAGGCTTTAGTACGTCCTATTTTGGAATAATGCTCATCTGTCTGGGACCCGTATAAAGTAAAAAATATTCGCATGGTTGAAATGGTTCAGAGGAGAGCTGCACGCTGGGTCCTGAAACGCTTTGATCGTAAGGACAGTGTAACTGAAATGCTTTCAGTACTGAAGTGGAATACGCTAGAAAGCAGACGAAGGATAGCACGACTATCTATGATTTACAAGATACGAAATAAGCTGGTTTGTCAAGATGATGTTAGAATTAAGCCACTTGGTCATTCCTATTCTACCCGTTTCAACAAGGAGTACGTGTATACTCAGCCTATGGCCACAAAGGATTATTACAAGTACTCATTCTAC